ACTATGGCTTTCAACACGGACACAAAAGCTCTTCTTGCACTATTCCAGATAGAGCAAAAGTGGGGTATAATACCCCGTATTTGCCTGAGTCTTCAAACTGAAACGGCTCTTTTCAGAGCTTGGTTACAGAAAGGTACCTTTCTCGTCATGGTACTCGTCAGCCCTTGGGATAGCCACATAAAGAAGAAATCCTTTCCCTGGACACACAGTCAGACTTGACAAGGGAAGAGAGATGGTGGACCCAGATGATGACACCGTGGGGTCCTCGCATGTTCCATCAAGGCCAAGTCTGAAATCCAAACGAGTGACGTTATAAAGTGTCTGCTTGTGAGAGACACAAGTAGTTGGCGACAGTCCTACAGTCTGCCACAGAGCACAGTTTCTTCGTGAGCAGGAACCATCGGACTGATTTTCTTCACACTATGGACAAAAGCCACGGGCAGGTGCTAATGCATACGTCGACTGTCGTATCTATGGGACGAGGGCATTTGATGTAAGTTTTCTATGCATCCACAGAAAAATAAGTCTCTTTGAAATTTAATGACCAGTTGGAGGCTCCCTGGTTTTCAGTGTGGTCTAAGTACAAACAATAACAATGTACGAACTCAGCTACCGGAAAGGTTCACCTTAGGGCTCTGAATAAAACTGTCTGAGTTCCCAGTTTAGTCGCCAGGGGAGCCTCCGAAAGAGGGTATTTTCAGCTAGGCTGTCCAAACGTGTTGCTCCTAGTTAATGAAATTCCATTATTTTTGTATGCTATTACAATTAAGAAAGGGGTGATTTAATTTATATGGACAACATATTTGAGAAGGTCAATGGAAAAGCTTAAAATGGCAGATTATAAAATGCAATTGCTATATGCTGGGATAGTTACACATAACATGTAGATTCACACGCCCCTGCCCCCAGCGATTCTTTGTCAATGCTTAGGTCATTTGTAAGTAGCGGCACCTCAGGAATCGAGTGCAGCTTTAAAAAAAAAAAAATCAATCTCTGCAGCATTCCCTTCCTATTTTAAGATATTTTGAAAATTGCTTTCTGAAAAGTAAATAAATGATCTCATTCAGGGGTGTTAGTTTTAATTCTTTAAATAGTATTTTCCCTTTCCGAGATGGCTTAAAAATAATTTCCTTTCTGGCTTTTCAAATAATGGACCAGAACTGACTGCTTGGCACAACAGTTTGCCCCCCGAGGACAATGAGGGCCAGCAGAGCATCACTGGTGTTGCTCCGAGCGCTTACATCTGTTGCTCATCTAATCCCTGCTACAGTCCTATACATGGTAGCGGGACCCTCATTTTATAAATGAGAGATTTATAAGAATGTAGATCTAAGACCATGGGGATTCATTCAGTTCGGGGGGATTTTTCAGCAAGGCCTAAGTAGGCCTGGAAAAGCCGGAGTAGCAGCAGAAGGTGATTCGAAGGTTCCCAAGCCTTCTATCTTTCCACTGGGATTTCAAACAAATCGACAGAAAGACTGATAGGCGGGTCGGCCGGGCTTTTGTCTAAGGCGTTGGTTCTCAGACCTCCTGATGCTGAGATCCGTTAGTACAGTTCCTCATGTTGTGGTAACACCCCCCATCATAAAATTAGTGTTGTTGCTACTTCATAACTGTCATGTTGCTACTGTTATGAATAGTAATGTAAATATCTGTGTTTTCCAGTGGCCTTAGGTGACCCTTGTAAAAGGGTCGTCCGACCCCCCACCATAGGGGTGGTGACCCACTCGTTGAGATCTGCTGGTCTAAGGAGAATTACTTTATATTTTTCCCCTTGGACAACAAACACTAAACTCGCGATTTGTGAAGATGAAGATCAGAAAGCTATAGAGAAGTTAGGTTGCCATCTTGAGGCAGTAGCCTTTCCTGACCATGAAGGACACAGGTATCCAGGGCCGAACACAGCATTCTTCAGGCTAGAGCGGAAGCTAAGTGCACACATTCCAGTTTCTCCCTTGGGTGGCTGATAACCTTGCCAGGGCCGTGGAGCCCCATCCCACTTGGCAAAGCAGTGGTCCAAGCCCGTCTCTGACAGCCTAAGCACACACTAACCTGGAGAATGTTTCTTCTTGAACGTAGTTACTGGGCATGTAAAGTGTTTTGATAGAATAGCTTGGGTTGAAGGTGCTACAATTACCTTTAACATAATAGAAACACTGTTTCCAAAGTCGCATAATTAAAATACCACGGAAGACAAAAATATATAAAATGAAGAAAAGAATCCAAGTCCTCTGTCCTATTTTTACTCTGTTGGTAATAGTTTCGATCAGCCGCAGCATTTAGCTTTATTATTTCATTATTTCTTCAGTGGACGCAGGGTAAGGGTTAGAAGTCACCCTTACCCTTTCTCATCAGTGTGCTCTGAAACGTAGAAACTCTAGAAAAGACTCTACCAATAGGAGCCTTCTCTTTTTTAAAAAAATAATTTTATTTATTTATTTATTTATTTATTTATTTATTATGTATGCAATATTCAGTCTGCATGTATGCCTGAAGGCCAGAAGAGGGCACCAGACCTCATTACAGATGGTTATGAACCACCATGTGGTTGCTGAGAATTAAACTCAGGACCCCTGCAAGAGCAGGCAATGCTCTTAACCTCTGAGCCATCTCTCCAGCCCCCCTCAATAATTTATTCTTATGTACATTGGTGTTTTTCCTGAATGCATGTCTGTATGAGGGCATCTGATTCCCTGGAACTGGAGTTACAGACAGTTGTGAGCTACCATGTGGTGCTGGGAATCGAACCCAGGTCCTCTGGAAGAATAGTCAGTGCTCTTAACTGCTGAGCCATCTTTCCAGCCCCGGGTGCCTTTTTTTTTTTTTTTACTTTTATTATTATTTTTTCTTTCCTATGTTGTGTGTATTCACGTGTACAGTGTGCTTGCCCCTGTGTGAAGTCAGAGGTCCCAGAACTCACCAGTTCAGCTAGAGTGCCTAGCACTGAGTCCCAGGGATCCGCCCCACCCCACCCCACCCCACCCCAACTCCAGGGCCGGGGTTACAGCCTGGGATCTGACCCTCAGGTCCTCATGTTTGTGTAGCTAGCCTCTCTGCCCACTTAGTCATGTCCCCGGCTCATTGTTCCGGATACTTGAAAGCTTTAAACCTTCAACCATCAGAAGTCATTTCACTGAGAGATGGGAGAAAGTGGGGGAATCGAGTGTGAAACATTGACTGGATTGGTGAGTAGTCTGGATTAGTAGGAAAAAGGAGGCAGTAAGAACAGAACACTAGCCGTTTCTAAGAAACGAAACACTAAGGTCTGTACGCCATCCATAGAGCAGGGGAAAAAGTTAGATATTTTTTAGGGCTATTATGTGCTACCTTCTTCCCCCAAAAATGTGATTATTTCTCCCAAGTACATCACTTTTTGATTCGCTCTTGTTAATAGTTTTGACAAGTTCACTGTCTTAGTTTGGGTTTCTATTGCTGTGAAGAGGCACCATAACCACCACAACAACCGTTATAAAGAAAACATCTAATTGGGGTGGCTCGCTTACAGCTTTCGGGTTTCTGTTCAGTATGCTCCTGACAGGGAGCATGGCGTGTGGACGGACGTGGTGCGGGAGCTGAGTGATTCAGAGGCAACAGGAAGTCATCTCACTGTCACACCGAGGGAAACTTGAGCAAAAGATATCTCAAAGTCCACCCCCACAGTGACACACTTCCTCCAGTAGGGCCACACCCCCTAATAGTGCCACTCCCTTTGGGACCGGTTTCTTTCAAGCCACCCATATTCACATTAGACAATAATAAAAGCCACACAAGTAATTTACAATTCTGTTTATTTTTTTTTCCTACAACGTTACTTTCCCCACATTTTTCCCATTTAAAGAGCAGATTTAAAAAAAAAGGGGGGGCACATCTTAAACAGGGCAAACCTGTGTGTAACACAAGGCGTGATTAGTCACATTCGACTAATCTAGTTCCACATTAAACAGTCATCGGATACTAGATCTGGCGAATTAATAATGGACCTTACCCCCTGCCCATCCTCCTAAAAATATCCTGGTGAATCTACGCACTTAAACCTATCTGTCTTAGTAAATAGTTTTAAAACATTTTTATTCCGGAGAGAAATGTGTGCGCAAGCCCAGGAGCTATTGGATGACCCACAGATCTAAAAGGATAAACGGACAAAGGGATGCTGGGCTGAACCGGTTTTGAGAAATGATATTCAGATGCTTGTATTTCATACCAATCTGGCAGCTTTTAAAAGAGAAAAAAAAAGGATCTGCAATTTTGCTTTCAAGCCAACTAGCCCCAATGAAATTATCGCCGTTGGAAACATGTGGAAAATTGCTGTGCGAGGAAAAAAAATTTTTTTTAGGAGAGGAGAGCCACCCTTCTCTGGCTTTTTCTCTTCTCGTTGCCCCTACGCGCCAACGTTCTAAAATGTCTTAAGTTGCATAGCTGACAAGATTTTGCTCATTTTTTCCAAAACATTTCACTTCTGGGCAGTAGCCAACCATGGAAAGTTTTAAGCACACTTGTGAGAGGGATGGAGCTCGTCAGGGCTGCCGGGGCAGGACCAAAGCCCTCAGAAGGGCGGACACGTTCCCCCCACATCACTAGCCGGGGGGCGAGAGGTAGGCGTGGACCAGGCGACCCGCCACGGCCCGGGCGGGCCCGGCTCCAGGACTGCGCGGCTCGGCCCCGGGAGCTGGAGGCCGCTCATCCCGCCCGCGAGCGCACCTGCCCGGTGAGCGGCCGGATCCCGGAGCCGCGGTCCACGCCTAGCGTGGCCTCAGGCGGCCTGAGAAGAAGGGCGCGGGGGGGGGGGGGGGGGGCCTCGCCGGCGGGGCCGGACTACTCCGGGGGCCCCACACGTCAGTCGCCCTTCTCCCCGCCCTCCCGGACCCCGCGGGACTGCGCACGGGCGCCCACACTCAACTTGACAGCTCCGCTGGCCAATCGGGAGCGGGGTCGGCAGGCTGAGCCAATGGGGGAGCGCGTAGGGGGCGGGCCGGCGGCGTCCTCCCACCCCCGGCGGGTGAGCGCGGAATGTCTCCGGCCCTCCCCTGCGCGTCCGCCTCAGTGCGGAGCTCGCGGCGGCCGGAGGAGCGGCGAGGACCGGGAGGCTCGGAGGCGGCGACCGGGAGGCTCGGAAGCAGCGGCGGCGGCGGCGGCGGAGCAGGGGCCACACCCCGCCGCGGACCTTTTCTCTTCCCAGTCCTCTCTCCTCCGCGCGCCAGGCCGTTCCGGGAGGAGCGCGGCCGCCCACGCCAGGAGCATCCTCTTCTGACCCAGCGGGCGCCGGCGGCAATGATGCGGCTGCAAGGCTCGGCGATGCTGCGCGAGCTGCTCCGGCGGCCGCCCGCCGCCGTCGGAGCCTCCCTGCGGCGCGCGCAGCCCCTCGGCACCCTGTGCCGGCGTCCCCGGAGCGGGAACCGGCCGGCCGCGGGCCTGGTGGCCGCCGCGCGGCTCCACCCGTGGTGGGGCGGGGGCGGCCGCGCCAAGGGCCCCGGCGCCGGCGGCCTGTCCAGCTCGCCCTCGGAGATCCTGCAGGAGCTGGGCAAGGGAGGCGCGGCGCCCCAGCAGCAGCAACAGCAGCAGCAGCAGCAACCCGGGGCGTCGCCTCCCGCAGCCGCGCCGGCACCGGGCCCCAAGGACAGCCCCGGGGAGACGGACCCCTTCGGTAACAGCGAGGGCAAGGAGATGGTGGCCGCGGGCGACAAGTGAGTGGCGTGGGGGAGAGCCGAGGAGGGGTCGGTCGGGCCCGGGGCGGTGGGCGGCGGCCGTGCGGCGGGGCAGCCGGGGTTCGCGGAAGAGAAAGAAAGCGATGCCAGGCGGGCCGGCGACGGCTGCCTGCGCCATGTGATCAGGCCCCGCCCGCGCCCCTCCGCCCGCTCCCACTTCCCCTCCGCGTCCGCGCGGGTCGCCCCGGGACGACCGGCGAGCGCCCGGCGGGGCTGGCCTGCCGCTGCCCCTCTGCCCCCTGCCCTCGGCCGCGTGCTCAGCGCCCCGGCTCGCGGCCGCCACCCTGGCCCGCCTCCGGGCTCTGCGAGGGTGATGCCCACACCACCATCCATCTCTCTCCGGTGACATTGAGGAGTCGGGCGCTCTCCGCCCTCCCGGCTCACCTTCCTTTTTCCAGGCCCCTTTCCCCACTGCCCGCCGCCTCTAAGCCTCTGCCACCATCCCACTGGATGCCAGATGTGGCAGAGAGCTCTTAAGCCTTCGGAGGTGGATCGTTTTGGCGTGCGTGGAGCCATCTGGGCCACCGGAAATAATGCTTCAGAAATGAGATTAGGCGGAGTAGGGACATGTGGCCTAGAGGATGAGGCACGCAGCACGGGCCACCTGTTTCCTACGGGGACCAGCAATCGCTTGTCTGATGTCTACTGTGTGTGAGGTTGACAGATATTTTTTTTTTTAAGAGCGAAAATGAAGTATGCCATAAACACGCAGAAACCGGGGAATTAATTGTGATAGGGTGTTGACTCATTGTGTGTATAGCTGGGAACTTTAGCCAGAACAAAATTGAGATTTCTTAAATATGACACTTTTCCTGAACGCTTTTGTTTAACATAAATAGATTTAGCTTTCCCATCTAGGTAAACGATGACTTTTAGGCTTTTCCTGTATCCTATTTTTCTGGCTTGACCCTCACATGGTGTGTCTTGTTCCTGCTTTGTACCTCTTTTTCCAGATCTGCCCAGTAGCGTAAGTCAAACTGAAAGTGTGAATTTGATAACCTCAAGCTCGGGCCTGCTTAATGTTTCCTGTAATTGATGCAGGGACCTTCCTAAAACATTCCTGGTTCTTTTCCCGGAGTGGAAAAATGCTATTTCAAAGCCAGCCAAACAAACAAAAGCGCTTAATGATGGACAGAATTTGTGGTAGTCTGTGATAATGGCTTTGCGCCACAATCCAGCTTGATGATCGTGGGCACATTATTGAAATGTGCTGGGTTAAATGCCTTAAATCCCTTTCGGTGTTTCGTTTTTTAAACCTAGACTTGGTTAAAGTTATACCTGTAATGTTTTAGAAAGTAAAATATGTATTACATATGTTTAATCACATACAGGGCTCACTTTGCCCAGATCTTGCTTACCAGGCTGGTGGCACAAAACACAGGTTTACACTTAACAGAACCGCCAGCGCATTTGCTCCCTATTAGTAGTTAATATCCAGGTTGCAGGATGGGAGGTGCCTTCTATTAAAAGTATGTCTGGTTCTGTCATCTCCCCCCACCTTTTAAAAAGTCAGCTAGGAAAACGAGTCTTGTTTCCCCAGAAGTTTCTGGTTCCATTGCCCTATTAATAATATTAATAAATCATCTCAGGGCAGTATCTTAGGAATGCTCTTCTGGCTAATGTCCCATCCTGTTCCCCTCTTCTTGCCCAGCAGAAGAGGCCAGTTTAGGGGAGGGAATTCCCCAAGAAGATTTGCTCAGATTCCTGGAGAATGTTAAGTGCCAATAAGATAACCTTGTTTGCTTTAGTTAAGGGACTAGACTAGTGTGTGCTTGTGTTTGCACCACAATTCAGATAGCAACTAAACAGGTTCAAAGCCAATTCAGAAAGGATGATAGTCCTGAGAGCTTTCAACCAAGGTTCAAACCACAAACGGCATGAATTCTTGTAAAGGGAAAATAGGGGAAAAAAAGCATTATGATTTGAATGAAGTTTCTATTCGATCTGTTTTCCAAAAGTTTTGATCAGGTTTTCCTCTCTCAAGCGCACCATTTTCTGTGTGAGAAGTGTTTCCCTCTATAGGTCAGCTCCTATTTGACCTTTCCGAAAGCCCAGCCCAGCCTCCAAGGCATAGGTCTTCCTCAGTCAGCAGTCCACCTGCTTTGCCAACGCTCTGGGGACTGCCAGATTTTATAGTGTTACCCAGAAACAGCCCTGTGCAGATCAAGAGTTGCTGCTTTCTACAAGGCTCAAAATGGTGTTGGGCATGTGCTCACTCTACAGCTTTCTTCACGAAATAAGACTTTCTTTTACCCTGAAGCCCTGTTGTGGTTGTCCATCTATGAATTTCAGACTCACGTGGCAGTTTTTATTTTTAGTTCCCAGAGAAAGCTTGTCTTGAAAGAAACATGTCTTACATGAAACTGTGTGTTTTGAACAGTTTACATCTTTAAACATTGCTGGGAAACCAGGCCAGAGCAAATGTAATTCTCAACCACAGCACTCCCTTTAGTTCCTATTGCTTTTCTTTCCTTATATTTTATTAACCTTATCTTATAGATGTTGGAATAGCATCAAGTTGTCTTATCTTTTTTCCAAAAACCAGTAAAACTCTTTGAGAACCCCTATCACCTTGTCCTGTATTGTGACAGACCTTCAGTCTGATCAGGTTGTTAGATGACGGATATTTTAATACTGAAAGGTAACCGCAGTGACCTTTGCCCAAGCTTGCTCTGGAGGTCTTCATTTCATGCACCTCATCACTAAAAACCACACAGTGTGCCTGGCTTCTTTGTTCGGTCTCTTTTCCTGACCACTTTGGGGTTTCCTTCATGGCTGAGATCTTTATTCCTTCCCCCACTTTACCTTCTCCCCAGGACTTGCATTCCTTTAGCTCTGATGCTCCCCTTTGTGCAGACAATACCTTAGTTCTTAAGCCAGGCTTAGTCCTCATGTGTATATTTGACATGACTCGAATTTTAAAATTGGTATGGCCAAATTCACCATTTTCCCCCTAATTGTCTGCTTTGCACCCTGTGAAATTGAATTTAAAATCTTAATGTAGGGTATCACTTTCAGAAAACAATATGGGCCGGGTGGTGGCAGTGCAGGCCTTCGGTCCCAGCACTTGCAGAAGCAGGCGGATCTCTGTGAGTTTGAGGCCAGCCTGGCCTACAAGAGCTGGTTCCAGGACAGGCTACAAAGAACCTTGTCTCACAAAACCAAAAAAAAAAGAAAGAAAGAAAGAAAGAAAAGAAAGCAAAAACAATATGGATTAGAATGAACATTATCAGTTACAGATGTGTTGTGGCAAAGAGCTTTGGTTAACTTGCTTGCTGGCTTAACAGACATTTTAAAAAGAAATCAGATTTATATCTTATCTGTTAAGTGTGACACTCTTAATTTCAGCAAAGCCCAGAAACGACTTTATTTTAGTGAATGATCATTAGGAAAGGCTGGTGCACGCACCCGTGTGTGTGTGTGTGTGTGTGTGTGTGTGTGTGTGTGCGCTTTATTAAAAGCACACATGCATTAAATTATCTTTGGTTTAACATTTTATTAGGAGAAAGGATTAGGTAGATGAAATACTAGATGTACTTTTTACAAAACCTTATTTTTATGGGGTGCAATATTGAAAACATTCCATTGAAATAGCCAGGGGACTGTTCCCCATCAGTGTGACAGCTGTTGAGTACACTTACCCCAAGTGGTAGGAAAGAGAGTCCTTGCATTGCTGGTGGATAGGTATGGATTTGTTCACGATTTTGGAGAGCTGTTTGGTGGTTGCTGAAAAACTACATGCCCCTTATTTAGTAATTATGTTTGCATGTCTCCAGGGAGTCTGGAATTTTACAAAAATATGCTTTTATTACACAAGAGTATTTGAATTTAAAAATAAAGTGCACCCGAAAGTGATTTCACCTAGCTTCAAATTGTATGGTATGGCATATTTTCATAGTTCTACTTTTAGTAGATGGAGTGTGAGGAGCGCAAACATTACTGCATTGCCTTTTGTGAAAATTGAATTTCAAAGTAAGATTTAATAATATGTACTTCAAAGAGTACTGAAAATGAAATTGAGGCAGTATTTGGCAGATGTAGATAATATTTTGGTATTGGCTGATAAGAACTTCTGAACGAGGTGGCAGATACTTTCATCATCCTCCTGAATTCTGCTTTGATTTCTAAAGGTTAACATTGACAGTTCAGACTGGAGAGATGACTCAGCTGTTAGGAGTGCTTCCCCTCTCCCAGAGGACCCGAGCTCAGATCCCCAGCATCATGCCCAGCCCTGGAACTCCAGCTGCAGGAGATCCCGCACCCACTCCTGGCCTCTGCAGGCTCCTGCACATGCCTGCACACACACATCCACGTGGACAAACTCACACTTAAAGTAGTCGTCTTTTAAAAGTAACCTGCCAGTCCTTTAGAGTCAGGACAGAAGGTCTAATTTTTCCCTTTGTGCTTCTTAGCTATCTCTCTGTGAGATTTTCCTAGGAGTAAGCTTTAAATTGGACGCTTTCTCCTGTTGGTTTGGTTTTTGCTGTGCAGGGGATTGAGCCCAGATTTTGCACATGTCATGCTTCTAAACCACCTTTCAGCCCTGTAAATTAATGGGAAGAAAGTGCCAGTAACTTTATGTCATATTTTTGAAGCCTAATATTTACATTAAACCATGTATCTCGTCATTGATAAACCTGTATATGATCTGTAAGTAACCGCATGATATTAATTTAAACAGATTTTACATAATTTGAGTAAATTCACAGAAATTTGAGCCCTGAAATTTTAACTTCTTGCTTGCAGCTTTGTTATTGAAAAGTTTGCCACCCACAAAATTTAGGGAGCTACCAAATGAAAAATTTTTTAATTATTATTTTTTAATGTGTTTTGTCTGCATGTATGTTTGTACATCATACACGTGCCTGGTGCCGTCATAAGTCAGAAGAGGGCTCTGGATCCCTTGGAACTGGAGTTATGGATTGCTGTAAGCCAGCCACCCTGTGGGTGCTGGGAGCTGAACCTGGGTCCTCTGCAAG